TTTTAAACCTCATTTACTGTATTTAGATTTTCTGTTAAAAATTTGTAGTATCCTGTATAAAAGTTTATGTAATGGCTTTTGGTAGATTTAAAAAAAAACACAAAATACTCATAACACAAAGTGGGATTGTCCATCACTACTACTGCAGCTAACTGATATAAAACACCAAATCCTGATCCTCCATTATAAAATGGAGAGGTAATATACATGAAAAAATATTTAACATAGTATACCATAAGAAATTTCTACAAAACAACATCTACAAGTGTAACAAAAATATGAACAAATATTCACAAGTTTAACTAAAATACTATAGAGTACATTAAGATGATGCTCTGCCATTAAACACAAAAGGTGAGCATTATTGAAGGTATAGTGTATTAATCTCCTTTACAGTCAGGTGAAGGCAAGAGGGAGGGAGGGAGTCATACCTCATCATTTCTGTCAGACCTCCTGCCCAAGCCAGATCCTCATTCGAACAGATCATGCAGACCTTTGCCTAAAACTGCATTAATCTTTACATACTTACTGTACAATGTGAAAGAAAGCTGTTCAAATTTTGTGATGCCATTATATCACTCAGATTACTGTACACATTTCAATGATTTCTTGTATTAAACCCATGCACAGTATTAGTGAGGCTACAACAACAGTGTTCAAGGCTACATGAATATGTTTGCCAAGTTAGCATCATGTTTATACTCTGTACACATTCATCACATTATGCACATTATAAGGAGATATAATTTATTAAAACATACATCTTTTATTTCACTACAACTACCATATGAAAATAAAGGGATCCACATTTTGAGAACAAGACACTTACAAGCTTCACTGTATTATAGAAGCTTGGGACTTCATAAGTATTCTTGCTCTGTAGTTTTCTTTGAGTGACATTCTCAAAAAATTCATTAAAAATGTGTAAAGGAAAAGTTCACTTACCAAATAAAAATCAAAGGATATTTCCATGTCATAATACTACAGTGCCACATTTGCTGGCATATAAAAAATAATGTTTTGATATCCTATGTTAAATTAAATCTTGGTATTTTGATTTAAGGCACTGAATACAATTGTCCACTGTAATACCATATACAGTATTCAATTCTCACAAACTTAATCCTGTTCATTCATCTGTGTTCCTCTCATACAAGACTTGGCTTTATCTACAATATAGTGTGTGAACTCATGGCTAACACAGTTACTCTCTACCATGTTACAATCTACTACTGTAATGTCAAATTTGAACTCGTATACAGTACTTAGGAGGGCAAGAAATATGAAGAAGTTTGAGGTAGGGTTGAAAATGATATTTGCCAGTAATTTTTCATATACAGTATTGTACTGTACTGAAGTTTCAAAAAGAAATATTCACCTGTTAACCTCAGTTATATCATCCCCGACCTTCACTCGTAATGACACAGACCTACTATTAGGTTTCTTCCCTGCAAATCAAGTTCAAGCTCACCAATTTTTCTTCTGTAGACTTCATGTTCAGTACATCTGACAACTTAACCTGGGACCCCAAAAAGACTTCATCCCACACCATAACCGATGAGCAGTGACTCATGATATCAAGGCTGCTGCCATCTTTCTGACCAGGAAGTCCATGTGATCCTGCCAGTAATGACCAATATATGTGATACTACTTTATATAATACGTATATCTCATAGTCTTGAACTTTATGAAGATAACATATCAGACAGTGGAGGATATCCTTTCAGAGATATATTGAGTGAAAGTAGCGAAGATAAACAGGAGGCAACAAGTTGCCACAAGCTGTAGTATAGGCAGGTGTGAGAGAAGCAGGAGGAATATCTCATGCTGGCCTTCACCTGGATAGCGTGAAGAGTGCTGAAGCAAACTCAGTTGCAAGAGTCATTAGTGACTGAAAGAAATTGAGGGAGTTCTTGCCTTTATTGACAACATGACCTTCTCTTCGCTTGAAAGGAAAGTTGTATGTAGACGGCATAAGAACTATGTAGAAAAGAGTAGGGTAAGATGGATATGGAATGTGACCTTTAGAGATTGGAAACCCTGTTCAGAACTAAGAAGGCAGCTGGATATTGAGAATATTAGCAAGGTTTAGCATATAGGCAGGCTGAGATGGTTCAGACATGTGGGGAGCATGGAAGAGACCAACTGGATCAAGAGATGAAGGAGTTTGAATGTGGAGGGAAGGAGAGCCAGAGGTAGTCCAAGAATAACATGGGGAGAAGGTGTGAGAAATTATCTTAGAAATTAGCACTTGATGAAGGAGGCTGCAAGATACCATGCACCTTGAAGAGCTGCCCTCAGGTAATCTCAGGTTACCCAAGCAAATGTGGAAAATGGCCATAAAATGATGCTCATGATGTGTGGCTGGAGTGATGCAGCAATATTGTATGAAATGACAAATATAAACCACATGAACATCTCGGGGAACACCACTGTAGGAACTAAGTAGCAAGGAAATAAACAATTGTGAAATGAAGAAGTCTGTTACTTTTGATTTCAGCCATCCTGAGCCAAAGTGGGAGAAGATCTTCACAAGTGAAATAATAAAACATTACAATACCTAAAATCATAAAGAGAAATGTTACCAACCTTGGTTTGGAGACTAATGCATTATTTAAAAAATAAATATTTCACACAAAAAATGGCTCGGCTGTTTCTCAAACTTGGTGTTCATCAATGGTGGATATTTAGATACTGTACTGTACTATACAGGTACATAAAATCAATCACTGTTTTAGATGAATCATCCAAGGTGCATCACAGCATTTTTATACAAAGCCAAAGCATGATGAATGCTGTGATGAATGTTGTAATGAAACACAGCCTGATGATGCTCACAATGTAAGAGACTTTGTAAAGTAACAATTTGTAAGAAACCCTGTGCTCCACCTGTCCCCCCATCTGGGCTCCAGCCAGCACGGTGAAGTGCACGAACAACAGCCTCCCCAAGACCAACTGATCTTAAGCAGTCTAGCACAAGTATTGGCAAACTTTTCCCAACTTCCTTATCTGTATAAATGTGAACTTTTTTGAAGGCAGACCCTAGAACCAGAAACAAACCAAACTGAAGACGAGAGAGAAGTGGCGCACCCAACAGCACTACAGAACCACCAGTACAAACGCCTCCCTCCTCCAACAGCACTAAAACTTGCTCCAGCACCCAACATCCTGAGTGTGGACCAGGTGTTGTCTCACCCCTTAATACCTGTGATCCTGGGTGCTGCTGGAGTACTGGGGACACGAGGTGTTCATCAAAAGTGATCGTGTTGCTGCCATTCACTTTCACCCACACACGATGCAATTCACTGTATATCCTCATTACTTTCTCTGAACAAAATTTTGAAGATTCAGTATAATGAAATGGTTTCCCCTTACTTACTTCAAACTCAATTATCTCCAACTGTGGTGATGCAAAAGTTGCTGATGGTTTAACTCCTGTATTCCCATCCACAACATTATTCTGCCTGACAAATGAATCATCTTGTATACAACTTCTGAGTAACTGATTGAGAACTTCTAGCTTAGTTCGAACACAGTTAGTTCTCATAAGCATTGCACTTGCAGTTTTGTTCCAGTCACTATCTAAGAGATACCGGGATTTATTGACATTACAATCTGTAAGAGTTTTACACTTTGGTATTGAAACACAATAGTTACGATCAAAGAATAAGGTAGTTGCTCTGGTTTTGAGTAATTCATTATATTGTTTCTCCCTTTCTGGCATACTCTGATATAAGGCTAAGTTTCGAGTGATTGTACTGACCTGATACTGCATAAATTTGGTAGCACAGTTTCTAATTTGTTCTATGAAGGCTTTAGGCAAATCCTCAAGTGCAAACATTGAATTTGGGTGAGGGTTTTGGCCATATATTTCAGACATTTTTTTTAAATGTTCACTACATTTGTCCTTACCACAATAATTTAAACCAATGGCATACACTTCAGAGTTGCCCTGTTTACTAGTGCCTGGCTTGTACATATGAACATGTTCAAAAACACAACATAACAGATAAATAAGGTTCAGTGTTTCACTTTCAAATAATGTAAACTTTTTAATAACCAAGGAGCCTCCAGGAGTTAACACAGACATAGCCGCTACGACCTCACACAGGTGTAAGGAATGGGTCATCTTCTCTTGCTCGGCAGGATTAGCTTGGCAATCAAAACTCCCATCGGCTGTTACCAGGTGAATGGGCCCGAGGCACTGAGCACGCTGTACAATATCACATAGGTTGTTCCGTACCATAAGGTCTCCGGTGTTGTCTTTGCCAAATGACCAGTTCTTGAGGGTGAGATAGATGAAGCGGTCCTCAGCGATGCACTGGTCGAGTGGTGTACCTTCGTAGTAAGGGTTCAGTGTGTTACCCAACCATTGCCACTGAAAGTTAATGATATAAGCACTGTACTGTCAAATTTACAAAAGTAAATACAGGTGTCAAGTTTTTATTGACTAAAATCCTTTCTACTGTCAGTGCTGTAGTTCTTATAAGGAAAGCATTCAGTGAAATAAACATAAGAGCATATATATGACAGTTCAAATTAGGCATACATACTGACTGTGACACACCTGCTATGTCCAGTCACAATGTTTAAGTCAGGACACAATGTACAATTAACACTCACATTCAGTGATGATCTGTTAAGTGCCAGATAGTGATTGAGTGCCAGAATAAATGCCCCGGGTGCCTCACACAGGTGGACAGAGTTGAAGTTTGTACTGCCTCCCTCCTCATGGCTAGGTTCATCCTGATCTTCAGCATCAGAGGTGACCAGTTCCATTTCAGTCTTTACATCCGGCGGGACAATGGGATAGGCATTGACTATTTCATAAAACTTCAACCATGCCTGAAGATGTTGGAACACTTCAAGATAAAATTTATAGTTTCATAAAAGGATTATTTTATTATTTTTCAAGATTCTTTAATAGATACTTTTTTTTCATAATGTCTGCCTCTACCTAAGGTGAAAAGACATAAGTAGTGTGAACAATAATTTACTAAACAAGACATGATCAGTATACAGTACAGTACCTGTGTCACCATCTCTGGCTGAGCATTTCGTTTTACACTGTAGGAGATCTTCTGGGTGGGGTTAGTGTTGTTAGTGTGGGAGTGCCACAGTTCTATGTCCTTGTCACCCAGCTGTTGTTTGGTCTTGTTCAATGATACCTTCATGGCCTGTAAGTCTTCCATCTGAAAGGATATACAGTGAACCCTCACTTTAAGCGGTCAATTGAACCCACGGAGGCCCGCGTAAAGTGAGAAACACGTAAAGTGAACAACATAACATATGGGATTAATTGAAATAGAGACCGGGCCGACCCCCAAACTCCACTTTTTCAGACACAATACCTACGTTGTTGTAAAAATAACTTCTAAATTTTGTGATGGTATGCACACACAATTAATAATTAAGAGAAATATCAATAATATTAGGTTTTTTGACACTTACATTAGTAGAAAAGATGGCTGGGCACACGGGGAAGGGGGGTTGGTTCCGAGGCAGAGGGCAGATTATTGGCCCTCACCTGTATCACTTGTATCAATTGTATCACTATCCACCACAGAGGCTTGCAGGGCCTCTTTGTCAAACCCCTCAAAGTCCATATAAGTCCATATCCTCACTATCTTTATCACTATCACTGACTTGGGCCGGCTGTGGTGGGTGAAGAACTCGGTAATGTTTTGATGACTGGGCGACCTTGTGCGCACCCTGCTCGCGCCGCTCTCCGCGTAAAAGGGTACACACACCGCAGAAAGTGAGCATTCCGTGTTCGGCAGGGTACCGCGTAAACATGGAAACGCGTAAAGTGGGACCGCGTAAAGCGAGGGTTGACTGTATAAATGCAGCTAATGGCTCTGTACTTGTCTCAGATCACCGCCATATACTGTAGCTGAAGATCCATTAATTATTTTTCAGAAATATAAAAACTTGAGTCATTTATCTTTTAATATATATATATATATATATATATATATATATATATATATATATATATATATATATATATATATATATATATATATATATATATATATATATATATATATATATATATATATATATATATATATATGTAACCGGTCGGAATTTACTGGACTTTAATTTCTCACTTGACTTGGGGTTTATTAAAGATTATAAGATGGTAATGGCAGTGGAAGCGCCCCTTTGAGAAAAATCCCGAACCAGCACAAGAACACTTAAATCTACTAAACAAAATGAATTGTCCGTGACCCGTGGAAGGATAGCGTCTGTGACTGGGATGAATGAGACACACTGTAAAATTTAGACACTTATATTCCCTCCAACACTACAAACACAATCAAATAATGGTACGCCAATATGCGCACCTCTTAACCTGAACTTAAAACACTACTCTGGGGAATAAAAGTTATACATGATATAGAAATTATTAGAAACTCAGGCAACAATAAATTTGAAGTATTAAGAAATGTTGCTTGCACACATGAAACAGGCCTTAAGGGCTTTCACAAACTAATATCAGTCACTTAGGAAATGGTATTAAAAAATAAGAAGTTAAATACTCTACAATGGATAGGCCTTAAGGGCTTTCAACAAAATAATATCAGTCACTGAGGAAATGGTAATAAAAACTAAGAAATTAAATACTCTACAATGAATAGGCCTTAAGGGCTTTCAACAAAATTATATCACCCCAACAGATGCACACTTCCTAACCTAACTTAACCACTACTCTGGGGAACAAAGGTTATACCTGAGATCAGAATTATGAAGAAAATTTAGATGCATTAAAAGAATCAAATCACAGTATCACTCTGGTTCCACTTAATGACACAAACATTCAAAAACAATACTATCAAAATTATTTAGGAACTATTAAACTACACACGTCAAGATAATATCAGTCTGAGAAATGGTATTAACTACACCCGTAATAAGGGAGATAAAATGTTCCTCTAGGTATCTCCTAAAGACCTAGACTCACGGTCTCAGTGTGTGACCATTAGTTTACTCAGATAGCCTCAGTGTACTCCCAGTGCGTCCATAAAGACGGAAGGGAGTGAGCCAATCAGACCTTGTACAGTTGAGAGAAGCTTTAGCTTCCCGTTAGCAAGAGGGTTTCACTAAGCGGCTCGGGACATGTGGTGTTGTGAGCCGAGGGAGAGGAGGGCTGCTGACCCACGATCGTCCCGACGTCAGCTGGGCACCCAGACGGCTAGATTCCCTCAAGAGATCCTTTGGTACCCCGCTAAACAGTGACAGGCCTACTCTGATCGGTCCAATGGCGACAATCGCCACCCTCAATCATCAACGGCAGTCTCAAACGGCAGTCAATCTCTCGCAGTCAAACTCCGGTCAACTCCGGTCAAGTGGGTTCTGACGGAAACCCTGAAATGAACTCACTGTTAGCTCTAGTTTACTTTACCACTGCCCTATCTAACCCTGTCTGAGATCGAATGAGACTTACTTGTTATACTGCAATAGCGCAGCACAGGTGACTAGGCCACGTGACTATTTCTGTGACGGACGCGCAGGGACGTCTTGTATGTCTGACTGCTCCCCGTGACTGAGGACTAGCCAGCGTCGCGTCTCCTCTCAAGGCGTTAGCTTAGGCCTACGTGACATATTTTCCGCCTAACTAATAACTCCTTGGGACACCCGTAACATTATTCAGACTGATAAACGATCTATAATAATTTCAAATTCAATAATAGTCCCTTACTTCATGAATCGCATCATTATTAATTCGGTAAATTACATTTAATATCATATAGGCCTAGTTCCACCATCTCTCGCTATGAGCAGGAAGCGCTCTCTTCCCTCCCACGACCTTGAACGCTCAGTGTTGCCAATGGCGGGGCATTCGAAATTACTCTGAAATTTCTGAATATTACATATATATATATATATATATATATATATATATATATATATATATATATATATATATATATATATATATATATATATACAGTACTCCCTCTTTATCGACGGGGGTTACGTTCTGTAAACGGCCGTCGATAAAGAAACCGTCGATACCGTGATGGTTACGTAATTTTTCTAACTATTATTAGCATATGTTGAATAAATGTACCTTTAAGCATTAATGCGTTTCCTTTACACATAACCTTAAATAATAGTGTATAAATAATAATATAATAAGTGGACAAAAATACTAGCAAACTTACGATTTCATTTATTGAAGTGAACATCGGTCCTTACAGTAAACAATACAGTGTACAGTATATACAAGTGTGATGATTGAGGCTTATTAAAAGCCTGACCAGTCAGATGAGTATGATGAGTCAAGGTCTGCATCTTCTTGAGGGGTGTGGGCAGGTACTGCGTCTTGTTGTTGTGAGGTGCCGGCAGCTTCTACGTCTTGTTGTTGTGAGGTGTCGGCAGCTTCTGCCTCCTGTTGCAGGATGCCGGCAGGTTCGGCGATGGCAGGCACTCGGCGACTGAAGAAGTTGGTGATGGTGGTCTGTGCTTTCTTGCTTCTCATTTCCCTCTGCAGTTCTATATATAGCAACATAACATTTTCAATAGCTCTCTTTGCTTTAAGGGACCTATCAAGGGAGGGATCAATGTCATAGAGACGAGCAGAGAGGGCCTTACTCATTCTTATTACTTCACCAAGATTATCTAAAGTTAAGTTCTTATTTTCATCATCACTCACTTCATCTTCTGTTTCATCCTGCAGCTCCACTAATTGTTCTAGTTCATCACTTGTAAATGGATCCCCAACATTTCCCAATAACTCTTCTTGCACCTCTGCCGCTGTTAAGTCAGAGAACCCTTCACCTCCAACTTCATTTGCCATAGTTATTATGTTGCGTAACTGAGGCCCACGCGGCTTGGCTGATGTCTGTGTTCAGGGAAGGCGGGCCGCGGGTAGACGCTAGTCACGCCACTAGTGCCGCCTAGCGGCGAAAGTACAAACAAGGCCCGCAGAGTTCAAATAAAGCCAAAATAAAAATCCGTCTAAATAATCCGTCGATAAAAAATCCGTCGATAAAGAGGGAGTACTGTGTGAAATATAACAAAGTCTAGGACTGCTTTTAGTATCCTGGTGGTCCAGCGGTTAGCGTTCCCCGGTCACAGTCATAGGCTTGTGTGCCGTGGGTTCGAATCCTGGCGGGTTGAGGTGTTGATTGTATGTAGAAGTCCGCGTGCTTTATTGGGCTAATGAAATATATATGGATCCTCGTGTTTCGAAGCCGGATTTGGTAAAACGTTACTCTGACCACCTAAGTGATACGGGTGGTCCCCATTAGAGGTTCACGGCGCCATAAGCTCGTTGAACAGGCTTTGTGTGAAATATAACAAAGTCTAGGACTGCTTTTAGTATCCTGGTGGTCCAGCGGTTAGCGTTCCCCGGTCACAGTCATAGGCTTGTGTGCCGTGGGTTCGAATCCTGGGGGTTGGAGGTTGATTGTGTATGTATATATATATATATATATATATATATATATATATATATATATATATATATATATATATATATATATATATATATATATATATATATATATATATATATATATATATATATATATATATATATATATATATATATATATATATATATATATATATATATACAGTGACCCCTCGTTTAACGAACACCTCGGTTAACGTAATTTCGATTAACGAACTGCCTTCCATAAGGATCTTCAATTCGGTTAACGAAAAAAAATTCGGTTAACGAAGTTCTTACGAACCGACCTCAACATGTTTTCGCTTGCACTGACCGGGCAACCAGCTTTAGTATCAGTCCGCCAATACATTAATCGGTTCTAGGGCTTAAATTCCTTACTATTTTAGTAAATATCAAGAAGTTTATACTATTCAATAATTTTAAAAGTTTAATATTCAATTTTTTAGTCATTTTAACAATTATTGAACATAATTGAAGGTAAAGTGACTAGTTTAATGCGCGGCATCCAGCCTCTTAACACAGCAAACAGGAGTTAGTCTCTCTCTGTTTTCACTGGAGGTAACATCTTGCTTGAGACTCTCTTCAACTAAACGCTTTTTTTCTGTGTTTCCAAGCAAATTATTGGTCATTTTGAAATATATTTTACATATTGACAATATATAATGCAGTGCAGTGTTGATTTAAAGAAAATAATCTTGAAATACACCAAGAGAACTAAAATTTTATGGGTGAAATGGTGCCATGGGGTGACTTCTCTTCCACCCCAAT